GTTTGCTCAGCTGATAGCAAAAAACAGTTCAAGGCAGAAGTCTCAAATATAGCAATGCAAGGCTTAAATTCAATAAGATGCTTTGCTTGACAGAGCAAGGATTATAAGCTCAGGAAAAATCAGCTTTATCGACAAAATCTGATCAACTTGCATAAGTGGGGACTGCTTAAATTCAATAAGATGCTTTGCTTGACAGAGCAAGGATTATAAGCTCAGGAAAAATCAGCTTTATCGACAAAATCTGATCAACTTGCATAAGTGGGAACTGCAAGCTATCGACGAAGCGCACATCATACCATGAGAATGTTCTACAATAACTCGTAGTTGAAGCTCTGACCTTCACTGTATTGTCTGTTAAACTATCAATACACTCTGCTAACACCACTATCTGACAACGAAAAATGTCGCGGACCAGCAACCCTCCCATCACCATGCAGCATAGCTCGAACGAAGGCTATGTGAGATTTCATTTGACAATATGATTTCGCACATTGCTCTAAGGTTCACCGAATAACTTCTAAGTTGATACTTGGTTATAGGTAAAACAAAATCAAGTGTTGCGGCCCTCCAATACAGTTTTCAGATGAAAAATCAATTCAGCCAAGGCATTAGCTAACACACGTGCAAATGCAAAGAGATATCATTAGCCCTGAAGGAACAATACTAATAGAAGGTTGTATATATTATGCAGGGAGCACAAAAGATAATACACAACAGATACCAGAAGGAAAAGTACTTACAGAGCCTGTCTGAATATTATGTGCAGATGCCACCTAAGATACTTGAAGAAAAATAGTGACAACAGAAACAATATTATGTGCAGATGGCACCTAAGCATAATCAGATATTTAGATTACATAATAAAATCATTCACAACAATAAGTTAACACATTTAAGAATATCACTGTCTAACTAAGATTACAAAATGGGACACTAAACTCTGTACGGGATTGAGTATATTAATAGCATAATGCATGTTTATCAGCTACACGGTTCTACTAAAGTAGTGACCAATTACAAACATTTATGTCAGAAACAGTACCAAGTGGTAAAGCATTCTTTCACTCTTCATATCGACACCACAATGCCACCTAACATATTGTAGATGCCACATTCCAAATCAAAGCATAAAGCACACCGACCAAACCCAATGAGGTAAACAAACAAAATGGAAGTATAAATTATGAGCAGAATATTTCAATTCATTTTTACCTGGTAACAATTTGGGCCATGCCAACCAAACCAACCCCTGGTATTCCCTCTTATCATATCTGCCGCATCTAATAGGGTGGCCAGTTATTCTCACCACTATGGCCTGATCCTTGATGCCAACCAATGAAGACAACAAGTATAAACTATGCATAATATATTCACTTGTTAAACTGATTTTTTGGCAGGGCAACAGATGAATCGCTAGCTGACAACTGCTCTAATTCATTTGACAGCTTCCTTTTGTGCTAGAGGACACAGATGCAAGGCAGGACAAGCTATGGAAGTAATACCCAAGATACCAACATCTCTTACTTTCTATATAAATGAATACTCAGCTTCAGACAAATATTGCAAAAGTATACCAACATGTTAAGAGATCAAACTTTTAGTCAGGAGAAAAAGAACTCACTGGCTACTTTTGAAATTTAGTACATTGTTCTTTAATCAGGCAAATCTGAATCTAGTGCACAATTGCCTTCCGCAAGCGGCAGCATAGTATTCAGCAGGGCGAGGCAGCTTCCTTGTAAGGCTACCAACAAATACCTTCTCCCTCACCACTATTCTGCTATAGTAGCTCAGCCTTACAAGGGAGCTTCCTTGTAAGGCTATCAACAAATACCTTCTCCCTCACCTAGTGATCCATTTGCCTTAAGAAACTTTATACCATAGATAGAATCAGCGTCTGAGCGGGCTCTCCAGGCTGTAATGGTGCATTACCCGCCGAAGAGCAGATGGCGGCATAATATAAATATATTTTCTAAGCATAATCAGAATACTAAACAATGAACTGCAACTTCAGTACTAACTGGCATATAACACAACAAAAAAGACGATGAAATGAAAACTGAACATGCTAGATAAATTTAACATGAAAATAGATCAATCACATCAAGCTTTCTTCTCTACAAAATGACAAAATCAACATACTGGGGGTGCAGAAATCAAGTTATCAGTTACGTCAAGCATTGGCCACGACAAAACCAAACTTCAATCATGAGAAGAACACCTAATCATGAATTACCAGCTTAATACGACGAGTGTAAATTCTGTTGTTTCGCACACAGTTACCAATTTTCATAGCCTGTTCTTGGTTCATGCAAATATGAATCTCGCAGGCACTTCCCCTCTGCAAGCGCTTGCATAGTCTTCAGCAAGGTATGGTGCAGCGTCCTTGTGAGGGCATATGAACTTGTCCAAGAACTCTTTCTCAGTCCATTTAACAATTGTATAGTAGCTTTGGTTGCGCTTGAGCAATCCATTTTCCCTAAGAAACCTCATAACATAGTACCGGGGCCTGAGCCGGCCCTCCAGGCTAAGACCGAGCATAACCGGCAAGTGAGCAATGCGTGCTGGTTCCAACCCCACCTCAGAGATAAGGAACTCTGACATGCGCTGCAGCGTGTCCTTTGACCTCCTCAGCACAACCGGCCTCTTGAACACAGCAATGCGGACCTCCGTATCTGACCACCTAAATGTCTTCTTCAAGTAGTCCACTTTGGCAGCGAGCTTGTCCTCGCTCAAGTATGAGACAGCATGCAGCGCTTGCCTGAACATTCCAGAGCCATGGGGCACACCTATACCTTCGGCGCACGCAACCATCGCCAGGACGCGCCCTGGTTTGGCGCTAAACATCCTCGGCGCACCGATGATGAGCTTGGCAATATCACAAGCACCTAGCCCGCACTCTGCTAGGAGATTGACATTGGGCTTGACCACCCTCTCGAGGTCAGAGCCGAGCAAGCTGTAGGCGTATTTCAGCGCCCGGAACAAGTCGCCGGTGGAACCGAAGAGCGGCAGGTAGTACTCTAGCTTGGAGACGACCGATCTGTTGCGGAAGTAGCCGGGGGCGAGCGAGACGAGTCGCGCGATCTCAGCATTTGACAGGCCGATGCTGGTGAGCCCCGCGACATTGGGGGACAGGGTCGTCTCCACTTTGGCGCAGAGGAACTGCGGGTCCCTGGCGACGAGGGCCGCCACATCGGCGGCGGAGAGGCCGAGGCCGGCGAGGAAGGCGAGGACGGCGTCGGGCTTGGCGGGGGACTTGAGGTGGGAGAGCTTGGCGTAGGCCTTGAGTGCCTGGGCACGGCTGAGGCAGCAGGTGGAGACGAGGTAGTCCTCGACGGCGAACCTAGGGTTCGGTGAAATGCGGGGGGCAGCGGCGGCGGCGAGGAGGCGGCGGAGAGAGGATCCTTGAGAGGGAGAGGCGGTGGGAGAAGAGAGGAGACGGGTGAGGAGGATGCAGCTGCGGAAGCGGAGCATTTCGCCGGCGGCGGCGGCGGCGGCGGCGGCGAGGGAATGAACGAAGACTCGCGTGGCTTCTCTGTTTTTTTGTTGTTGAGGGGTCCGTGGCTTCTCTGGTGCAGCACGTCAGTCGTATAATGGGCTGGGCTGGGCTGGGCTTAGACCAGAGTGACTATTTTTTCCCTTCCTTTTCTCTTTGCAACAAATTTCAGATTTGTCAAACCTCAATAAATAAATAAATAAATCAAATTGTGCGTAGCATATTAGCATTCGCATCATATTGGATTCCAAGTGCTTTGGCAAAACAAAAATTATTGGATTCCAAGTGAGCATATAGCATGATTAATCGACAGTCATAATGCTTGAATTCCAAGTCCTATCAAAATACGAAAAGTAGATATATTGAGAGAGAGAGAGAGAGAGAGAGAGAGAAAATAATTAGAAATAAAAATTGGGGTCATGTGTAGCTCCACCATGGGTAGCAAATTATTTCCGCTCATGTAAAATTATACCATTTTTATTAACCTGATCAGTATATACTAACAACCAAAGTTAGGAAACATCTTGCACATGTTGACCTGACACATTTGATAGTCCGCTTCATATTTAATGTAATCGGATAAAAACAAAAGGTAACTGGTTTAATTGTTTTATTATTGTCTTAGTTATAGGTTAAATTACCTATTTGAACCCAAGTGCAAATTTATATTTCTATCCTAATAAAAAAAAGGTGTAGCTATTTCATGATGCGGAGTTCTTACAAATTTTAGTTTCCTTATTTTCTTTTATTTACTATTTTGAGTTTCATGTAAAAGTGCTGAATTCATTATTCACGTAATATGAATCTGATTTAATTTATACCAAAAATAATTATTGAATTTTCAACTTTGAAAATAATTTAATAATTGTACCAATTAACCTTAAATTTAGTTTCAAATTATCTATTATATAAGATAGAAATAATATAGCTAAATGTTTATACAAGCTAATTTTTCGGTTATAGAAAGGAAAAAGTAATGAATCTTTACATCCACACTATTGATTTATCAAATGCTTGTGCAAGAAAGTTGTCATTGACAAGGTCAAGGCGGCTCCCTGGCGACTGCGGCACATTGGCGGCTCGTTCTGGCAACTGTAGTGGTTGTTGGGTGGTTTTGGAATCTTCGTATAATTTTTATTATGTTTGAAATGCTTTGTTCTTCCGGTGCACTTTGAAAATAGATCTGGATGATTTCGCAAAAAAAAGGAAAGCTAACACACCGATATATTAGGGGAAATGTTAATGAGGTAAAACACAAGTTTATGTGAAGGGGCGTCCAAGGAAGATATTTGTGACCAAAGTAACAATGTGGACCAGACAACACAAGAGGCTCAATTGTATAATTAGTCAGTAACCAATACTACATTTGCAAGCATATGTAGTAAAATTATTCCTTTATTTAGTAAAAAAAAGAAGCATTATTCTAGGCACAACAACACTGATTGTGCTTGCAATACGGCCCAGTTGAGGGCTTAAAGCTGAGGCTGCATGCGATCTGGCAACGTTCTTTGCACTTTTCCACATAGAAGCAGTACAATGGAGGATTGGCTCCATCTTCAACTGCAAGTTCAATCCATGATCCATGTAAGCCCCAACATGCACAGAAAAATAAATATGAATTGAATACAAATGAAAGTAACCGATCAATACTCGAGAGGACAAAAAATTTGGCAACGCGTGGATAAAACTAGCAGAGATGTTATTACTTGTGCGGGCGTAGCAAGACGATGATGATAGGGTGGAAGCCATAACCATAAGAAGCACAAAAACCACAGCCTTCCTGGTCGCATTGCTCATGGGTGCCATGACCAAGAGATCGACAAGGAATCACTTCTTTGTTTGTTGTGTGCTTAAGGATGCCGTAAGCTTTCGCCCTTGTATAGTCATTTATATAGAGGGACAAAACTCAAATCTTTGGCGTTGAATTAATGTATCAGCCTGCGGATATGGCTTCCTGATGCTTTGGCAGGAACTAATGTATCTTTTTAAACACAATACAGACGCAAGCGCTCATATACACGCGCATACACTCATCCATATGAATGCACACACGCACACCATATCCCTATGAGCACCTCCGAAAGGCTGAGCCGGCATATCATCTTTGAACCCTGATGGGCTGGAGATACCGTAGTCCTGCTAACCATCCAATCACAGGTTGGTTTGCAGGAACTGATGTATTAATAGATATTTAAGGGCACATTTATGTAAAGAGAATAGATACCTCCTTTTCATATATTTTTAGTTGGAATTGTTGGTTTCCAATATGTTTATTTTTTATTTATTCTAGAAAAGGACGATGACCTAGGCCTTTGCATCTGCACGATGCATGCAGCCATCAGCCATCTATATCTATACCTATCTATATCTATATCTCTATCTCTATCTCTACTTCTATTAATTATAGACTCCCAAGACATTCCTACGTTAACCAGTAAATACAAGCCGTACATCTGGTGGGACCGAGTTATTATGATGTAGATTAACAGTTCGACAGAAAAAAGGCCCACGACCTTTCACGGTCAGAAGAAAAATAGGAACCACCGATTTTTTTAACACAATAGAGACGCAAGCACTCATACGTACGCACATACACTCATCCCTATGAATGCACACACGCACACCCTACCTCTATGAGCTCCTTCGAGATATTGGGCCGGCATATAATCTTGAGATTTATGAAGTCATCGTAGACGCCTCGTCGTCGAACCACATGTCGGTTTGCAGGAACCACTGATTTGGTGGGTTCACATGAGCCTCCCTGTTTAATCGCGGAAAGCTCAAAAGCAAGCATCATACGGTATCTATCAGATCTAATCTTTGTTTCTTTAAACATCCTGGGTCTTTCCAATCTAAGCATCACATAGCCAAGTACAGGAGACTCAACGCACACACTAGCCAGCCGTCATGCCCGGCCACTAACCCAACTAACCTACCTACATGCAGGCGCACACATACACCATCCATGCAATCTCTCCACAACGACCGTAGGACTTGGCTGCTAAGAGCAACTCTAGCAGATCCCGCAAAACGCGTTTGCGGTTTCATGAAGATCACGTTTGCGGGTCGAAAATTAGCGCGGCCGAATAGAAACCGTATCTAAAACTGCATAATCTGAAAAAACATTTCCGCGGGAGAAATTGCACCTCGTTGACGCGAGTAGTTCATCACATACTACATAGATTTTACATGATCAACACACTCAAACATGGTTCATACTACATACTACGCTAATACTAGTACTAGAGGGGGTTGGATCTGACGGCGGCGAGGTCGCGGCAATGGACGACGCCGTGGAGGAGAAGGACGCTCAATCCTCCTCGCCGGAGCTCCAGAGGTCGACGTACTTCGCCCTCTGCTCCTCACGGATGCGGCGCCACTCCTCGTCCTTCTCCTTGGCGGCGAGGTTGGCGGCGACCGCCTACCGCCACTCGAGGTCTTCGAGCTCCTCGGCCTGGCGCCGGCGCTCCGCCTCCTCGCGCATGCTCCGCTCGGGGATGGCGGCCGCAACAGCGTCGACGTCGGCGACGTAGTCTTCCGGCCCGACGACTCCGCGGCGGCCGAGCATAGCGGGCTCCTCGGGCTCCTCCTTGACGGGGACGAAGTCGAACTCGTCCGGCTCCTCTGGCTCCTCCTCATCCTCCGACCACTCCCTCTTCACGGGCAGAAGGCCCGCGCCGGAGGAGGAGAAGGTCCCATCGTACGAAGATCTCACGGAGGAGAAGGACGCGCGCCGGCGGTCGTACTCCTCCGTCTCGCTCCGCCGGAAGCTCGCCGGCGGCGACAAGCCGCGGTTGGTCCACTTCCGGGCCCCGCGCTTCCTCGTGCCATCCGACCGGACGCGCCGCTCGCGCTCCGGGTCGCTTCCGCCGCCGGATCTGCTGCCGGAGCCGCGTCCGGAGCTCCACACGCGGCCCCACATGGCGGCTGGAGGCGGGAAGGTGGTCGCCGGCGGCGAGAAATGTGGAGAAGGGGGTGGGGAATTGCGTGGCTCGGCGGCGGCGGGGGATAGGGTTTCGACCCGCAAACGAGCCGCAGAACTGTAGATATAGCGGTCAGGGCATTCGGTTTGCGGGCCGCGGCAAATTTTTTTGCGGGCCGGGCAAGTATGCGGACTCTGTTCTGGTTGGAAAATTGGACTAAGCCCGCATACTCGCCAGAATTTTGCGGGTCTGCGTGTTTTGCAGGGTCTGCTAGAGTTGCTCTAACGAACTCATCGATGCTTATGCCCAGCCGTTGTGCAACCTCCAACATCCACACGGCTGGGCTCTACACGACCCGGCATGCAAAAATGCTAGACTCACGGACCTTTACAGGGCAATTACGGGGCCTTTCAAACTAACTAAACCAGCCCCCCTCCCCCCCCCCCCCATTTTCAGGAGGGTGTGGGGCCAATTTTTCCAAATGACCAATTACAAACTTCCAAGTGGATCCGCCCCGTAATCACCCCGTGCATGTAGCATTGCTCCCCGCCATGCCTGTAGCTAGCCAGCCACGGCTGTGCGCACGACGCACGTATGCGTGGTTTATCCTAACACACCCCCTAAACCATGACGTCGACGTCACCGGAGTTGTTGCAGCGCCATCGTTGTCGACGTCACGGCCGCAGACTCGACCTGGCGCACTGACGTCGGTCGCCACCGTCCCGGACTCGCGGACCTTCATAGGCCGACACACGGACCAGAGTTTCATCGCACATTCGGCGGCGAACGCTGCCATCGCCGACATGCCTCCGGCATAGCAAACCACGCTCAATACAACCAAGCTTATGATACCAAATGTTGGGACAAACCCGGATAGCTCTCCCTCTCACACTCGCTCGGTTGAAGATAGAAGAAGGACACAAACTTTTTTCCGGCGCACAAATGCCTCGCAACACGAACGGCGCCTCAGCCGCACGAATGGCCTAATCTTTACTGGGCACATACCCGGGTTCGACACATACCGGCAGCCTGCAACACATGGTGACTCAGCGCTCATACCGGCGCCACACCCACACAAGAGACTACTGGAGACTAAATCTCTCCTAGCTACTCCCCTCAAGCCCTTTCTACACAACACATCCACGGCCACTTAAATAGCCAAGTCCAGGAGAGCATTTTGAAGCATCGATTTTGTTACTTTTTGGCACAACTTCCACAAATGTCACTTTGTAATGAAACTTTATAAGCACTAAAAACTTTTCACCAATGTTTGGTACAAAAAAATCATATTTTTTTTTATAATTTACAGCTCAAGCTAAGAATCGAACTTTCATGCCCAAGTCAGCTTGCTTTCATTGTAACTTGGTTTTCACCAGATATTTTCTCTGGTACTGACATCTTGTTCACTGAGATTTTCTAGAACATTTTGCACCTGCAAATCCAGAGAGTCTCAAGCAACACTAAGATTATAGGTTCGCCTAGAGACTTTGATACGATAAAATTAAATTCAAAAGAATAGGTTTCAGCCTTCAGAGTGCCTTTTTTTCCTCCCCAAAAGGTAGATGTAAGACCTGCATAGGTGATTTCTTTGTTGGGTCAAGATAATTTCCTGAGTCTCCTGGCAAAAACCCGTTGCTGGGATGATGAGGGCCGGTCCACTCGTGACGAGTGCGTTGGTGTTGGCCAGAGGAGGAAGAGGAAGAGGAGTGGGAGTGAGAATGACGGGTGGGCCCTACGCCGGCCTAATATTTGAGACAAACGGTGTGAGTTGTTTTCAAGCTACGTCATCATTTATGGAGGGACCCGGCTGTCAGTTTTTTAATCAAACAGCTCTAATCGGCCAATCGGCGCTTTTTGCAAACTGTCAGTACAATGGTGATGGTTTTTTTAATTAGGGTCCCCAGTTGTGATGGTTTTTTGTAATTTACTCCATCAAAACACACTGAACATCTATGTTGCATACGGTTCCTCGACTTGGATTACAAACACCAGATAAAACATGTATTTTAAAGGAAATATTAACCAGGTAAGTAAAACACAAGTTTATGTGAAGTGGCGTCCAAGGAAGAAATCTGTGACCAAAGTAACAAATGTGGACCGCACAACATAAAAGGCTCGGTTATATAATTTGTCGGTAACCAATACCACATATGCAGTCATATGTGATAAACTTATTCCACTAGCTAGAAAAGAAGCATTATTCTAGGCACAACAACACTGATCCTTCTTGTTGCAATACGCGTGAGCCGAGGGCTTAACGCCCAAGCCGCATACGGTCTGGCAACGATCTTTGCACTTTTCCTGATGGAAGCATGGAATATTCACTCCATCTTCAACTGCAAGTTCAATCCATGATCCATGTAAGTCCCAACATGCACGAAAAATAATATGGAATTGATGTATGTATGTAGGGGGAAATAGTGACGATTTTTGTTAACTAAACAGGTGCAATGACTTGAATACGAATGACACCGGTCAATACTTGAGAGGGCAAAAAAAATTGGCAACACATTAACAAAATAAGAAGAGATGTTATTACTTGTGCGGGCGTAGCAAGACGATGACGATAGGGTGGAAGCCACGATCATAAGAACCACGAAAATCACAGCCTTCCTGATAGCGTTGCTGTTGGGTGCCATGACGAAGAGATCAACAAAGAATCGGTTCTTTCTTTGTTGTGTGCTAAGGATGTCGTAAGCTTTGGCCCTTGCATAGTCGTTTATATAGAGGGACAAGAATCATATCTTTGGCGTTGAATTAATGTATCAGGTTGTGGATATGCATTCTTGATGTTTCTGCGGGAATTAATGTATTAGTAGATATTTAAGGACACATTTATGTAAAGACAGTAGATATACCTCCTTTTGATATATTTTTAGCTGG